CATTCGCACGCGAGTTTATTCTCGCAGGGAGGCTCAATGGATGCGATTTGAGAATGATTTTCCGAACACTGCTGGGCATAGACGTTAGGCATTTAAATTCAATCAAATTTAACATGAGCCAAAAAGGTGCTCATGGGGACCGACTTTTGGGACGATCTAGTTTAGAATTATTTTTCATTAATCGGAGTCGGTGCTTATTTTTCGGCTCCGACGCCCACTGTTAAAAATGCGCATGTTCTAAAATGCGTCCGATTCCGCCTCCACAGCCCTGGTTATAATAAACTTAAATTCAATGCCAGAGGTAATACATCTGGCAACGCATGCTCAATGGTACTTTTACGATCACTATTGACTCAAAATTATGTTGGCGCGCGGAACTGCCGCTCGGCCTGGGTGAATGGAATCAGTGCTGCAAAATCTCGACAATACACGGCGATATTCAAAATTTTGCCTTGGCAACTCATTTAAGCTAACAGTTGAAGTAGGCCGCACTGCGAAAATGACGTGTTTTTGTTTTGCTGCTTCGTTTTCGTTCAAGTGAAAATGTTATAAATTTACAATTTCATTTTTAAAAAGTGCTAATTTGAAAGTACAGAAGTGTTGTTGAAAAGTGCATTAAGTGAACATTTGCAAATTCTTATCCGTTGCATGTGGTGCCGACTGTTCTAACCTACGCGTAGTTACGCTCAGCTAAGTTTATGTACCTTGTCGTTCCTCTGTCCGCGATAGGAAATATCAACCATTTCAAAACTTAATAAATACGCGTCAATCAAGTATTGCACTACTGCTTGATTGAAAGTTTCAGTACATTATCAATGGTGTATATTTGCATCGATAATGTATTGGAGCGGGGCTCATCATGTGTGAAAATAGCTACGGAATGCTTGTGTTCTTGAAATGAGCTATTGTAGCTGCGGTAGAGCGGTCACCTTCTAACTCCCGGGTTCAAGCTTCTTGCATTCATAAGAAATGATTGCAGGCAGATTTTATCCATAATGCCACTGCCAGACAGTGAGAGTTAGGCCAAGGGCGAATCTTCATTCTAGTCTACGATTCCACATACTATTAATAACCTTTTACACTTGAGAACCTCCTATCGATCAGAATGAATTGTGCATATGTTTAGGATCAACAAACATTTTCAGGCGCAAAGGAGCAACAGGATTGAGCTGATAACGTTTCTTAATTACAAAATCTGAAGACTGTTTTTAATAATATGTTTAGGTAATGGGCAGCAACAACGGACAGATAAACTACTTACAGCTTATATTTATTAAATGCTTGATGTAACGATTGCCAGCAACGCCGGCTGGGCGTATCCTATGGCTTACCCTCCCTACTAACAAAAATCCACCCTTCCCGTGACACTTATGAGGGGTCATAGAGTTCTCACCATCTCTCTTAAGTAAGTGTCGGACTAACATTCCTCCCCTATCCCCACCAGTTGCAAGCACGTGGCCAGGACAGCTCTGGTCTGTTGGAAGGAGACACATCCTATATCTAAGAGGTAGTAATTAATCACAAATTACTATCTAACAGCAACGGATGAAGGTAGGTATCCTTCTTAACAACAGTTTGGAGCTCGTACCACCTACGACATTGTGCAACCTGGTTTATGCTATGCAACTCATTTACGCTAACAGTCATCGTCAAAGCAAACCATGACAATTGTCAGTTACAGTTTATCAGTGACGAACATGAGCAGATTTTATTATTAGCTAAATTTGAAGCGCAATTAAACAACTTGAGCAAAACAATTACATGGAGCCGTTAAAGTGAACTAACATCTACGTTCTGAACTGCTTGGATAGTAATAATGTGACTAAGAATGCACTAAATTACACTTTTTTGTTACCAGGTTAAGCTTTGTCATTGACGAAAAATGAATGAGATTTTGACAAAGGCTTTTTTTTAGGTATATCAGTGACTATGTCAAAAACAATTTTGTCACTATCGCGCGAAAGTCTGTCAATGACAATGACAAATCTCAGCACTGAATGAAACTGAATATCAGGTACATACTTTTTTCAAGCCTGTCGATCAAAATATATTGATCAACTCTATGGAATGCTGCCTTGCGGTTGATATAAATGGCGTCGACGCCCACCAGAGTCGATTACGCTTCGGTCACGATAATTTCGAAACCTTGAGAACACTAGCCTGGTCATTAGACTGATGCAAAATTTGACATTTTCGCTCCACAGTGCTCAAGCGGTTCCAAATCGGGTCTTGATTAGCCTCCCAAGGTTTGAACTGATTTGGTAAGAAACTGACTGGGCACAAACCATTTGAAGTTTATATGGAAATTACTAAGGGGAAACCAAACATTTTCTCCGTAGTCTTCTATCGTTCTTCCATATTGCACCGTTAAAAATTTCTATAGCTATTCTTATGGAAAATTTTGTCAGCTATAACTTTGCGGAATACTCTTTTTCTGCCAAACATCAAATTAAATAGTTATTAATTGTTTAGGAGATTGATAATCTTATGGCATGATCAAGCAACTGTTTTGTGGGCAACACTGTATTCTGCAGTGTGATATAGTAGCCATGATGTTTTAGCTCTATTCTACGCGCCAGAAACACCAATGTTGCCTGCTGAGCAGTTGATTGAGCATAATCATAAGACAATAGTGACTTGAATCATTAATAACTTTTGATCCTTACATTTGATCGATAAATGGTTTTTAAACAAAGTTGTAGCTGTTAAAATTTACTACAAGTACAGCTATCATTTTTTACAGCAGAGTAACATGGTTAATTATTAGATAGATATGAATACAAAATTTGGTTTCCCCATAGTAATTTCCATATAAACTTCAAATGGTTTGTGCCAAGTCAGCTTCTTACTAAATGACTTCAAATTTTGGAAATTCAGGAACCAAATTGGAACCGTTTGAACACTGTGGATGGATCAACACCAACAGCTGAAGAGGATTTCAGTTTACCGGTTGCAGCCAGGGCTGGCAAAGCCCATTTTCAATGAAAGATCTCACGCGATATTTGCAGAGATAGTTCTGTCAATATCATATCATGCTCATCGCAAATAGGGTTAACTACCTCATTTCCGGCCTATTAAGCACCGTACGTACCATAAGATTTGATAAATAGAAACCAATCGTTGAGATATTGTCAAAAGTCTAACACTTCTTCTTGACGCCAAACTCGGCCTACGGATTCTAAACTCACTTTGACCTATCGGATGAAGATAAAAATTGGTTCGGTCGGAGCGCTTCTTTTGTTTTTGAGAATAATGGATGCAAACCTTCATATCACGCGTTCTCATTGACTTCGTTCGGTAGCTTACTAAGTAAAGTATAGTACCTAACGCATAATTGACTTGTTCACTCTGAAATCATGGATTTATTTGAAGTTTTCTGCTCGATAGGCCCAAAATGGGCGATTAAGCCGAAGTAGTTCTCTACCCTACTAGCTCATTTATTGATATTATTGTTAATTATACCGCGGAAATCGTTAAAATATATTCTCTCTACCGATTACATACTGTAACTTGCCTAAATTCATTTAAATCAGTTTGAAATTATGATTTCCAAACTGTATGACAATTATTCTTATGAGAGCTTGATAATTGGGAAATGGCCTGTTTTGCCATTGTCACATGACGCCCGTGATATTTCCCAGCTCTGGTTGCAGCTGCAACGGCTCTTTCAGTTACTTGACATAGATGAAGGTCAAAAAACATTCCGTGGAGTCCTTTGCAGTGCAGCTTCTGATTAGTGCAAGTTTGAAAGGCAGTTTTTCTACCTGGATTGACAGTGCCTCACTAGTGAGTCTGAATAGAATCCTCACAACCTTTCTACCGACACTTCTAGTTTGAGACCAGCGGGTATGAAGCGGAAGTTAGGTTCACGACCTATCCTTATTAAGATTATTTTTTTCATTCGCTCTCACTACCACTCGGAATAGGATCTTTTGAACATTTCAAAAGGTCCTACTTGCTTTGATCGCATCTCTGCCGTTTTTCTCTATTCTCCATTCTCTACCACGACTATGCCAAAACATTAAATTTTGTCTTAATTTTTCGATCACAAATCACCTACCGATGTCGATCTACATTACTGTTCTCTCATGAAACATATATGTACAGAGAATGTAAGAAACCTACAATTACAGTTGCATGTGATCCTTATGATTTACAACCAGGATAACCACACATATACACACAGTCTGTCTTCTACATCATGAAAATCAATGATGGGAATCGAATTCTTAAAATATCTCAATGCGGTTTGAAATTGATAAATGAACGGGAATCGTAGCTTTAGATTATTTGAAAGGCATTTACTAATACATAAGCGATCGTCATGATGAACTCAACAAAAAAACTCACACAGAAAGTGCAATGACAATGTGCTACTTGGAGTCACATACATAGTTATGTTTCATTCAATGGAGCCGCTTGATCTTAATACCAGAATAATTATCAAGACGTAAATTATGAACTGGTACCTTTCGGTATTTAAAACAGAACTTCTCGATTGCAAATGGTGAAGGTTATCACAAAAAAAAAAACAACTCTCCCAAAGTCAACACTGCTCTAACCTTTGGTTGGTGCATTTTCTGATAAATCTTGGCCCTACAATATATTCATCTGCTTGCCACCATGTTTTTTACCAAACATTTCTGTTCATCACAGAGTATTTCGAATAAATTGCGTTTACAAATGTGTCCTATCTGATGATAACGTATTCAGCTGCGGTATTCATATACACACCCATATAGTACACAGAGACAATCACCCAACCACAATTCAAACGAATAATTTCCACACTAACTAGTCGGCAATTTCACAATCGAGTAAATCTCTGCATCAAATGTGTTTTTCCACATTGTATCCATTTGTCATCACCGTCGTCATTTTTTGTCGCAATTATCCACGTGTGCTCGTCAGGTATAATTTCCAAGTTAGGTATCGATCACCAGGTTTCCTCGATGCGTAAGTGATAAAAATAAAACAATACAAAAACAACAGCGACTCACCGAGCACAGCAGGTTGAACACAAACAGTACGTATTTGATCGTTGACAATCCACAATTGAGTGCCATTTTTGGGCGGTTTATTACTGCTTCTTCGGTATTAAAACGCTATCTGTTCGTTCGTTCGTCTGGTTTTCCACACCCGCGGAAAATATTTTTAAACCGAAGGTACTTTCACTCGTGAACTCGAACTCCTCTCGATATATAGTTCAGAATCTTCGAACTACAGGATTACTTTTTTTTTCTTTGCTCGTGGGTTGGATGAAAATTTTCCTTCTCGGTTTTTGTGTTTTGCTCTTACGTTCACGACCCCATGCGTCCGTATTGCTTTATATCTCAAACAAGACTAACGTTGCCGAAGCATTCAACCGGTGTGTTTAACTTACTCGCACTCTCGCCCACCAGCATGAAACGGACACACTCGATGTTTACAATCTACCTATATCCTATACTATTAGTAGGTACGTTGAGTCGTTGATTGATCTACCAATACCGACTAAGCTTTTGAATATTTGAAACAAGGCGCGAAAATTTTATTTCTTTTTCCATCGTTGTGTGGGAAAGATAAGGAATCCATACAGGGAAAATGATGCGATGACTGATGAGTCATACCGTACTAGTGTGCGTGGCTTCCATATATTTTAGGGAAGGTTGGGAATTTGTTAGCTGCTACTGTGTTACCTGACTTATAACGAATTTACGTTATATACGAGTACCTTGAATACAACGTAATAGTTCGTCTAATTTTACATTGCAAATGCTATGCAAAATTAGACGAGTCATACGTTGTATTTGGGCTACTCGTACACACCAAATTTTGGAAACGAGTTCCAGCAAAACAAATAGCTGAATAGCTTCCAGCAAAACTATATCTTGCTGCATGTTCAGTAATTTGAGGTATTTTGTTGAATGCTCAAAAACTGTGTTTTTTTTTGTTTTTTTTTTTTTTTTTTTTTTTTTTTTTTTTTTTTTTTTTTTTTTATGGTCACTTTAACACTCTAGGGTCATTTGTGACTTGTCCGGGGGTGACATTTGAACTTGTGACTTTGGCGTGAGAGGTATGGATGTTAACGACTACGCCGGGGTCGCCCCCAGTAGCTCAATAATTTGTACACACATAAATTTTTTCGCCGAGATTCCAACAGCCGAGTAGTAGGGTTAACTACCCCATTTCCGGCATATTAAGCACAACCCGCACTTAGTCTTTCTTATTCTAGCGTAGTTTAGCACCAAACGGAATATTATTATAACTGATGGCTTCCAAATTTATTTACCTTTCCGTACGTACCGTAAGATTTGATAAAGATAAACCAATCGTTGAGATATTGTCAAAAGTCTAACACTGCTTCTTGACGCCAAACTCGGCCTACGGATTCTAAACTCGGCCTAACGCATTGAAACGGCAATGAATTCACTTCGGCCTATCGGATGAAGATAAAAATTGATTCGGTCGGAGCGCTTCTTTTGTTTTTGGGAATAATAGGTGCAAACCTTCATATAACGCGTTCTCATTGACTTCGTTCCGTTGCTTATTAGCTAAAGCATCGTATTAAACGCATAATTGACTTGTTAACTCTGAAATCATGGATTTATTTGAAGTTTTCTGCTCGATAGGCCCAAAATGGGCGATTAGGCCGAAGTAGTTCTCTACCCTACTACAATTTATTTTGCTGAGATTCAGTAAAACAATTGCCGAGACTCCGCTAACAAATAACTATTCGCTGAGATATCAGCTAACAAACAGATATTTTGCAGAGATATCACCAAAAGTAAATGCCGAGGTAATCGGCTGTTGGAGATTTTACCGAGCTAGATTAAGTGTGTATGAAACGTCAAAATCATCACCGTTCACCGTTCCCGCGTATGCTGTTTTGCTATTGAATAGAGCCACTAATCATGAACTACATGTAAAATATAAGTAGAATATTCACAAATGGATAGTTAACTCAATATTTACTATTGATTACTCCGATTCTCTGTTTATCTTTAGCTGCAAGGATTGCCGGAGTTGACATCAAATGAGTTTAAAAAACCGTCGATAGATCCAACGAAAATATGAATCACTTTGAAATTAATTCATCGCCTAAAAGTGAACAATCAATGTGATTGATATGTGAAATGTCCATGTGTGTAATAAAATACCAAATACAATTGAGTTTTATATCAGTTTGAACTCCAATCTCGGTTCAATTGTTTTGTATCAAATAACTGGTCTTTCAGCAATATCATTGCCACTCTAATTTGCTGGATATACAGTAAACAGCTGTCATTTTTACGTAGGGTCAATTTACTGGTCGTTCAGTGAAAGTATTTTGCTGGTTTTACAGCTTGGCAAAATCCAGCAAAATTTTACTGGTGTCCAGCGATATAAAAATAGTGTGTATACAACGTTTATTCGTTATAACAAGTCAGGTAACACAGTAGGATGAATGACTGACATTACCAGTTGATGCTTCCTGGTGGCTTCCTACACGAAACGAAAATCAATTTTTTTATTTATATGTTTCACTTATACATTTTTGCCAAAACATCAGCCTTATACATTCCATAAGACAAACCACATAGGTCCAATAAGAATGCATAAAAGGTATGTGTGACCGCTTATACATTTCATTTGACACATGATCTTCATTAATTTTTTGCAAGGCGTCTGCTTATTAGTTGACTTATACATTTTATGAATAATCAGCAATAGAAATTTGCCAAGAGGTATAAGGAGATTTCTATCCGTGTATCAAAGGTTCAGGTCAGTGCTGAGTTTTGTCATTGACACTGAATGATTTCAGGCAATATTGGCAACATTATGTCGAGTTATGTTTGACATTGTCACTACAGGGTATCGACTCAATGAAGAAATGGACCTAACCCAGTACAATTTCAAATTGAATAAAAATGCGTTCGATACATTTTATGGAATGCAAAAAAACAGAAATCGCCTGTTGCCAAAAACGGGGAGGAACCGATTTTTGACGTACAACTACGTCTTTCATCTCTATACTGGGGGTACACTTTGTGAAAACCGAAAATGGAACATGAAACAAAATTATGAAAGATTTTGAACATTAATAACTCAGCTGCTTCTGAACCGATTTCAATAATTTTATCACCAATCAATCAGAAATATTTCTACGCAATGCTTCCGACTGATGGTTTAACGAGAAGCTATCGAAAAAGTGGTAATGTCAAGCATTGTCCAATGTACACATAAAAAGAGATAATCACTGTTAAACATTCTTCCCAAACCCAGTGACGAGGCATACGTTCGACAAGTTCCTGTGAGGGGTAAGTTTGTTGCTATTGATTCCCACACCCAATTATTGATTCGGTTGAGAAATGTGCGTAGGCGTCAGTTTCAGAGGACCGGAGATCTAGGCAGATTGCTTCCAGAATGGACTCACTCCGAAATGAAGGTTTCGGGCGTGTTGTCCAGAATCTGGACGACCGCTTCAGACCATTCAGGAAGGTAGCCAAGGTCCTGAAAACTCATCCCAAACCCGTTCCACCTCGCAGAGTCGAAAATGATGACGATCGGCTTTTAATCACCCCACAGGAGAAAGCAAATGCGATCGGGAAGCATGTCGCTTCATCGCATTTGCTTGACTCGACTATCCAAAGTCCGCTCGATGATCAGGTTGCGCAATGCGTTCAAAACCTAGATACCTCCCCTTGTGTTGTGCCTCCGGCGGATATGAATACAGTACAATAGATTTGCTCAGCGCTGAAATGCACCAAGAACATGAAGGCTCCTGGGTTTGACGGTATATTTAACTTGATCTTGAAGAGACTCTTCTAACCGCTATCTTCAACAGATGCTTGGAACTGCACTACTTTTCAAGCATCTGGAAGGAAGCAAAAATCATACCAATCCGCAAACCCGTTAAGTATCCAACATTGTCTTCAAGCTACAGACCAATCAGCCTCCTTTCAGCGCTGAGCAAATTGTTCGCGAAACTCATTCTCAATCGTTTGCTCAAGTTTGTCGAGGAAAATAACATTCTCCTTCCGGAACAGTTTGGATTCAGAAAGGGGCACTCCACCAATCACCAGCTAGTACGGGTGATGAATAACATCCGAAGTAACAAAGCTGTATCCAAGTCCACAGCCATGGCCTTGTTAGACGTTGAAAAGGCGTTTGACAATGTTTGGCATGACGGACTTGTGTACAAGTTTTGTAACTTCAACTTCCCATTACATCTGGTTAAAATCACCCGTAACTACCTCCAGCAAAGGTCGTTTAAGGTATCGTTGAATGGTTGTCTTTCAGACACGTTTTCCATCCCAGCAGGGGACGGTTGCGTGTTTTTCCTGTACCGCAATAGCCGTCAAAGGAAGGATGGCTCGAGAAATAACGAACAAACTTCAACGATGCCTTAACGCCTTTGCTGATTATGCCACCCCGTGGAAAATCAAAATCAATGCCCCCAAAACACAAGCGATCATGTTCCTCCATCGGCAATTGCCCAAACTGAAACCGTCTCCATCTTGTACTGTAATCATGGAAGGCACAAGGGTTGAGTGGTCTGCCGAAGTAACCTATCTCGGGATGTTGTTTGATGAAAAGCTCCTCTTCCGTTCGTATGTGGAGAAAACCGTAATCAAGTGTTCTGCCTTGGTTAGGTGTCTGTATCCGCTGATTTGCCGAAGATCCCGCCTCTCAAGGGTGAACAAACTGGCCGTCTACAAACAAATCATAGCACCTGCGATCCTCTACGCAGCTCCGGTGTGGGAATCATGTGCACAGACTCACAGGAACAAAATTCAGGTCGCTCAGAATAGAGTGCTGAGAATGGTTCTTGATCCTCCTTTCGACACTAGAATAACAAATTTACACGAAGAGGCAGGTATTGCCAAAATAGATTCCAAAATTAACGAAATTAGCACTAAATTTACACAAAAATGTATTTTATCAGAACATGCTTTGATGAGCAATTTGTATATAGTAGATTAGGTGTATATAGTACTTGTAGGTTAGTAGTAGTTGTAAATAGTAGTTATAAGTAGTCTCCTTTTTAAAATTTAAAACAAACCAATTCCACCAAGGTGGTCATTCCCTAAAACAGGCCTGATAGGTCTAGGAACTGTAATTAATAATAATTGAAAATCAAAAGATCTAAAGTTGAAAAGACGCATCTGTGTCACTTGATAAGTTATACATGTTAACCATACAAGTACAAGAAATAAAGATCATTTAAAGTCCAAGTCAAGGCAACAGCTCATTTTCGCTTCGGACGGCGTGGAGGTCAGTAATAGCAGCAGTAGGAAGGTGGTGGCTAGTCCACTCTTCCACACCCAACAAGCAACAATTGACTGGTCGTGGCAAAGGAGGAAAAGGCTCGCCGTGGCCGTGTCAAACGTATCTCCGGTCTGATCTACGAGGTGTGCTGAAGGTGTTCCTGGAAAATGAGATCCGTGATGCTGTCACCTACACTAAACACGCCAAACGTAAGCGGCTATGGATGTCATCTTCGCTTTGAAGTGACAAAGACAAACTCCATACGGTTTCGGAGGTTAAATTATCACCAACTTTGCCAACAAAACGGCCCTTTTCAGGGCCACCAAGCTTATTACAGTAAAGAGTAGAAATAGAATTCATCTGCCTGTTTGTCCATATTCAAAACCACACGCCCCCAACGACCACACAAAATGCTCAAGTAACCTTACTTGACTTTGATCGATTCTCTTCAGTGCTGAGATTTGTCATTGTCATTGACAGACTTTTGCGCGATATTGACAAAATTGTGTTTCACATAGTCAATGATAGACTTGATCCTCAAAAAAATCTTTGTCAAAATCTCATTCATTTTTTTGTCAATGACAAAGATTCACCTGGTAACAGAAAGTGCAATTTCTTGCGTTCTGAAACACATTATTGTTATCCAAGCGGTTCAGGACGTAGATGCTCATTCACTTTAATGGCTCCATGTAATTGTTTTGCTCAAGCCATTTAATTTCATTTCAAATTTAGCTAATAAACAAATCAGCACATGTTCGTCACTGACAAAAATGTTACTGACAATTGACATGGTTTGCCTTGACGATGACTGTTAGCTCAAACGAGTGACCAAAGCAGAATTTTGAGTATCACCGTGTATTGTCGAAATTTTGCAGCACTGATTCTCTTCATCAACTTTCTCTTTGAATCGCCACGGCTGGATATTTTCGATGGAATAAGCAACAATCTAGCATCTAATTCAACGAAGACGGCCATTTTTGAAGCCGAGTTATTTACGAAAGAGAGTCGATGAAGAGAATCGATCAATGATCTTCATCCAACAAGTAACAATTGGCTGGCTGGTCGTGGCAAAGGAGGAAAAGGTCTTGGTTAAAGAGGCACCAAGCGTCATCGCAAAGTTCTTCGAGACCACCATCCGTCGTCTGACTCGCCGTGGTGGTGTCAAGCGTATCTCCGGTCTGATCTACGAGAAAACACAAGGTGTGCTGAAGGTGATCCTGGAAAATGTGATCCGTGATGCTGTAACCTACTCTGAACACGCCAAGCGTAAGCGGCCATGGATGTCGTCTACAATAAAACGGCCCTTTTCAGGGCCAAGAAGCTTATAACAGTAAAGAGTTGGAATAGAATTTATCTGTGCATGTTTGTCCATATTCAAAACCACAGGCCACCAACTACCACACAAAATGCTCTCCAGAGTTGTAATCTTTGAAGCAAGGATGCAAGTGATTTTGATTGATTCTCTTCATCAACTTACTCTTTAAAAAAAAATACTGTAAATTTGATACGCTTACAAATAAAAAACGGAAAGAGTTAAGATAATTGATGATTGATCAATTAAAAAAACTAAATGCTCTTCACATTTGTTCCGTCCACTAGCGGTCCTACGCAAGCTTGTATATGCTCATTACAGCTAAAATGATATTTGTCGGTTTTATGAAGCTATGAGATATTTTAATGATAATTCTTATTTACAATATGCAAGACACATAAAAGCTGTCAATTTAGCTTTCAGAGACTCACAATAGCGATTAGCTGTAACGATGAGCAACGCGATGAGCGAGCAATCAGCGATCATAAAATCGTTAGTTGTGACCTTCTGAAAGCAAAACTGACAAATTTTATATGTCATACACAAACTTTACCACCTCTTCTCGCTTCTAACAAATAAAAATTATCGTTATAGTATCCCATAGTTTCATAATTACGAAAACTAGCATTTTAGCTGTAATGAGCAATTGCAAGCCTGGTCCTACGTCAAGCTTCCATTCGTGCCCCTAGGCACATACCCTTCTACTTTTTAATTCCTGTACCACCTCTAGTTATCGTAGCAAGAAACTATTGACAGCGTTTTGATCCGAAAGTATTGTTTATTTAGTAGTGAAAATTTCGTCAGGATTCATAAACTTTTTCAAAAGTTATCGAAGATGGAACGTGAAAGACGTGAAAAAATTCTGCACACTCTCATTTTGATGGACGATGAAACTTACGTAAAAATGGTTTTTGGACAAATCCCGGGCCAAGAATATTACTTTGCTAAACGTAAGGGGGATGCTCCGGATAAATTCAAATTTGTCTTTGCAGATTAATTCTCCCGTAAGTTGATGATTTGGCAAGGCATCTGCAGTTACGGAAAGGAAACAAAGGTTTTCATCACTGGAGCGACTATGAATGGACAACTTTACAAGGAGGAGTGTCTCCAGAACATAATTTTGCCGTTCATTCGATCACACGAAGATCCCGTAAAGTTCTGACTTAGACAGCTGCCATTACAGCCGCGATGTCATAGAATGGTATAAGCAGAATAATGTCGATTTTATTGAGAAAAGTATCAATCAACCAAATTGTCCAGATTTTCGTCCCATTGAAAAAATCTGGGCAATTATCAAGCGCAAATTGAAGAAATGTGGCAAAACAATCAAAACACCATCTGATTTGGAGAAGTGGTGGAAAAGGATGGTAGAAGAGGTTGACAGTACTACGGTACTACCACAAACGAAGTGACAGACGGAGCGGCTCGAAAACTTTGGTGACTACCTTGCTATTGCAATTTTTCAGTGTACCACATGGCAACACCACTACTACTGGATTGTACTACATGGCAACACTACTACCAAAGATGAATGTCGTTTGAAAAACTTTCAATTTTAGTGTCCTCTTTCACGGTCCCTTTCATCCAATGAATACCCCCAGTATGCAAGGTAATTTTGTGGTGTTGCTGCCCCCTCGGTGGAGATGAAATTTTGCGCGCTTTTTTATCAAAACAGTCACACCAAAATCAGAGATGTCCCATTTTTTAACTACTCGATTAACAACTAATCGATTATTTTTTGTTCGCTGTCCTGCCATTTTTTCATCAATGAGAGTGCAAAACTTGTTTGAAACGATCGGTGATGATCCTCTGCAGAAGTTAATGCTTATATCGGCATGATATAACCGATTACAAATATGTTACTATTCGCATGAAAATCGGCCATCGCTAGATGAATGTGAAACGTCATTTCAAATATAAGGACCGTACATAAATAATGATACAATTTGAAAGGGACCGGGTCTAATGACAAATTACGTCCCCACGGTAACTGAAATAAACACGAGTGTTCACCGGTTGCTACTAGAAATACTCAGAGGGAGAGATAGGCGGAGAAAACAAAATACAATTCGGCAGCAGGGATTTGTTCCTAAATTATCTTGCAACCCTTGCTAGAAGCTAGCATTTCAAATGACTTCTATTTTTGATTCGATTTACGTGCAAAATAATAATTGATTGCATCGCAATATTTTGCACATTTCTTGGGGCCATTCATTAACCAACGAAGATCAATTAATCAACAGAGTTAGAATATTGTTTTTGGTTCCAAAAAACTAGTTGAATTTGAGAAGCACACAAAACATAAAGGTGATTGAATTTCTGTTCGATTGCAATACTCTCAAATTTATTCTAGTAAGAATAAGAAATCCTCGGAAAAATTCTAATTGGAATGTTCGATTGGCTCAAATTTAGACAGTTCATTTGGCTCAAAACATTCTCTCCGCCCATCTCTCCTTCTTAGTATTTCTAGTTGCTACTACTGGATTGAACTAGCATTTTCACCAAATGTACTAGAATGTTTTGGTTCTATCTCTTTCACTCTACTCAATGCATAAAAAAATTACAAAATGATACGCTCTTTGCACACTGTCAAAGAATCATTGTACACAAAATCAACTTTGTGCAAAACAAAAACAAAAATAATATCCCATCTGGTGGATGATGGCACAAACTTCTAAGAAAATTCCATTACTGCGACCACATTATTTTAATTGATTTCTTCGCCAGTTAGCCGTCTGTAACTTCGTTTGTGGTACTACTGTGCAAGACTGACTGTGATGAGAGGTATTCCGCGAAAAGTTCGAAAATTCATCCGAAAAGCTGACGTATAATTTTTGTTGTATTTTTCCTTTAAAGCCAAATAAAAATCCTACAAAATGATACCTTTAGCGTTTTTTGTATTTTATTTCCCCTTAGGAGAAATGACCTATTTTGTGCGGCCAAATTCTAAATGGAACAGACTTTATACATAGAAAATCCAAACTTTGCCTGAAGAATAAACTTCTAATATTTAAACAAGTTTTTAGACCGGTCATGCTTTGTGCTGTGCCAATATGGTCTAGTTGTTGCACTACCAGGAAAAAAGCACTTCAAGTTGCCTCCCTGGTACAGTACTACCGAGGTACATAGAATTTCGAATGTTGAGACTTTAGAACAAATGTCTTACAGAATAATTAATAATCCACAATTGCAACGATTAACTCCCTTTACATTTAGATAATATCGAGTTTTAGATCTTAACTTAGATTAAAATAAACTCTAAAGATCATGGGCAGCAACGATTTAAAGGCATAAAACGATCAGCAGGGCTGTTCAATACATCATAGAGACTATCTAACGGGAGTTCCCATTTCAGATTTCACCTGTAAATCACCTATGGAACCACAAAATGTAGATAACGGGGCCGTAGGCCACTTCAAAACGATCAATCCGGCTCAAAATGACCCTGTTATGATTCATCTTCCAACCATGTGATAGTAAACGAATTAATCAAATCTGTAAACACATTCTACTACGATGAAAGCTTATCTTATCAGTACCCACAATCTAGTCACCAATGGCACAAGTGATTTTCCTCTCCCAAGCGTGACCCATCGATTGCTATGTTTTACTGTGATAATTTTAGATTTCCTTCTGTGGGACTTTCGGATGGATGAAATTTTGATATAATGAATTATAATTATTGTGGTTTTATTAAAAATATTTCCTGATCCATAACTCATGTCAAGTTCGACTTAGCGACAATCGATACGTAGTTTAATATTCTATTCGTACATATAGGTAGTCGTAATATTGATTTCGCTCTCATAAAACGAATTGGCATATATAACGTGTATGGTCAAAGGAGATAACGACTAAATCGATGAACCTTACAATCTACATTCCTATAGCAGCTCAAACGTAGTGTGATAAGTACTCTCGTTTATCATTAAAAAATATTATCAACGCGTATCTAAGTATATGAATAATGGACGAGATGGCCGGGTTTTTTCTTCTTTTAAGTACTAAGTATTACATCATCTGAGGAGCATTCGAAAGTCTCTTACACCTTATACTGTTACCTCCTAGAAACTAAAAAATAAAAATCGTTCAAAAATGCAACTCAAAGAACACAACTTGCCGGATTGGGGCGCTGCTATTTGATGACCGGATGTTCGATTTTAGGCACATTCGGTTTCTGTGCAATCGGGGGCTTTGTACTGGTGCCGCTGCTGTGTCCCATCGGGGCCATCGGTGCCAGCGATGCAGTCATCGTGTGAGAGGTCATTCCACTGGATGTGGCGGCGATGGTGGTGGCCGATAGGGGCACCAGTTCCCGGGGTCGCTTAACCCTCAGCGAGTGGTTGTTTCCGTTCGGGAGCGACAGTTTCGGTCGCTTCAGTAGCATTACCAGCTGAATCACACAGAAAATGCCGAGACTCTGTGAAAAAAGGGGAACGGGGGAGATAAGAAAACGGGGAGAACGGATTAGTGAGAGCGAAGTCGATTACTAAGGGGAGCAAAATGTGAGAGCTTTTGCCTGCTCACTGAAGCTTTATGGTTTATGGTAAAAGTTCAATTTATGGTGATAGTATAACTGAAGGCAAAATATCTTCAGATACGAGATGAACGAATTTTTGAGCGCAACTATCGCACTAGGGTAAACGCTCCTTTAGTTGCGATACGTGTTAGAAGCGTTAGGTTCCAACAGTTGCTTCAAACGTACCGCAACTATAGGAGCGTTTACCCAACTGGTATATCATGAATAATCAAAATCACAAGAATTTGATAAATTTAAACAGACTTTTTTTTTATCGAAATTCTCATCCTGTTCGTCATCAGCCTTGGCTTATTAAGTCCAAACGCGTATGTTTGTTTCTCCTGGCTTCCATAAAGACACATCATAAAGGTGTCGGTTGGTTCCGTGCTGTCTGTTTGTTTGTTTATTCATCTCAATATCGACAAACCTTTTACAGATCGAGAGGAGAATATTCAGGTGATGGTCAGTCGTTGGATTGAATTGTTTGGAAACTACATTTTGTATTTTTATGGTCTATTTCATGTCATCTACCTGTACCCAGAGCCGTACTCAGGATATTTTTTAGGTCGCGAAATCTCATGTTTGCGTCCCCTCCGATCGATTACATTTCATAAGGGTAGCGGAAAAGAAAAAGGGATATCGCAACAAATTCTGAAAATCGCAAAACGTCTTTGAATTTAGATTTTTTTTTCCCTGAAATTTACAGATATTTCTTAACGTTCACAGCTGAGTAGTACGGACTCACTCGAAATGGTTGTCAAAAAAAAAATCAATAGCTCCTGTCAAAAAGAATGCAACGACCGGGACCAGCAAGAAGGCTTACGTTTCTTAAACGATTTTGTCCGAAAGATAAAGCAATGTGATCAATGATCAAAATAGTGTTCCTAAGTTCAATTAAGAAACAGTAATACAAGTGTATTTCAGGGGCTAATAGATTGTATTTATTGAAAATAAAATAATGCAACTAAAATTTTGAAACAAACATTAACGGCTATAGTAAACATTCTCAACAAATAAAGCTAAAGACCCCTGAATCTAATCTGAACGACACTTCATGCATATTTTTTTTTTATTTGAACTTCTAGTAACGCTACGACGTCAATCTATCCAGCGGGACAAACTTAACGAATTTAAAAGTTTATACGTGTTTTGGAATGTACCAATAGCGTACCATAGCGTACCTTCAAGGATTTTGAACGTACCTCAATCAAAGCTTCCCGGAAAACCCGTGTCCCGTTGGATAGACATACGATTTCAGCAATGACCAAGTCCATCGACCAGATTTCTACGGAAATGTGACGTACCAAATGCGTACTTTACGAATCTGTAATTCATTTTAACGTACCTCTTATTTTCACTTAAATGTTTATACTAAACTTTTTAAATCTGTTTATATATAAATTTTGGGTACGGAATTGGATTCCTCGGAAAATTTTAGCCCGATTTCATATAATAAACATTATACTTAAGTGCATTCTAGCCAATTTGAGGACCAAAAACAGTTTTTTTATTTGCATCCTTAAAAATATACTAATTTCGAACAAAACCTAGGGGCATCCCACTCTAAACTTTGTATTTTTCGCATTATACTTAGAAAGCTCTTACTGATATCTAAGATACCTGAAAATACTTAAAAATATTTAAGAAATATTTAGCGCTAGTTTGTTACCACCGTTGCTAGAGAGATTTCTTTCGACTATTTACCCGCTGTCATCTGGGATTTGGTGTATGCGTGTTTAGAAAAATCAACTATAATTTTTAAATGTATTCCTTTTTGTAGGAATCGAGGAGGAGCCATTTTGATTCAAGGAATATTACATTGCCAAACCGATTTATCTGTCATTCAAAGGGAGAATAAGGAACTATTTGGAAAGTTACTATGGAATAAACTGCATGTGTAACAAGGTGTGGAAGCAAATCCTCTAAACAAATTTTTCTATCCCAAACCATCTCTCCATAAAAACATATTTTTGGTCCAATAGGATCTTGATCCAACGGACGATAGCTTCAGGCCTGTACGTTGATTGAAGCTGAATAAGAAGTTTTGAAAGATTTCCGCACCATCCGCACGTATAACATCCGGAAAGCCTTATCTCCTAGATTACAGCCGAATGAGTTTATTGTAGAAGTTAATCACATTTCCTAGGATTTGGAACCTTCAATGCTTAAAACTTATTATTATTAAGGCTAATATATTCGCTTGGTGTTAATTTCGGAACCGCTCTCTAATTGATTCCATCATTCATCAGAAACGGTTGTTACGTATTAAGACATAAATATGGGAATATTTTGAAGAATATTTTGGCATATGTTTGGGGAACAGTTTGAAATAAATTCATATATTTTATCTTAGGATTGTTTTACACGAAATGGAAACAAATAAATAACGGGTTTGAACTAAATCGTTGTATTTGGTACATCAATTATTTGAAATAAATTTCAGAATAAATTATTTTTTTCATTGTTATACTTATTGGTTTCGAAGCCTAAAAGTGAGAAATTCATGTTAATTTCACATAAAGCCTTCGGTTACTATCAGGATACTCTCTCAACTTCCTCACCAGTCCGTCGTAACTCATCTTTACAGATGTAAGTTTCTCAAAACGTAGCACGATACGACCACCAGTGGCAATTGCAATCACTTCAATTTCTAGTCAACCAACCCAACAACTTGCTAGCAGTTACACTTCATTGTATTGCTATTGTTCTCTGGTAAATAACCAGCGAAGTCCTAGCATTCTTGACCAGCATAAAGCCGAGAATTTCATACTCATGCAGCTTGCGGTTCAGACTGGTTGGTTAGAAAGGCCAACGACACCCACACCATTAGCCTCCAGCTAAGTTATGGAACTCCAAACTTTGAAACCTTACTGAACAGCCAGTTCGAAATTATAAATAATTAACTGGTTTGCTGAAAGAAAACTGGTCTTTGATGAACTGTTTCATAAATAGAATTAAAATACTTACTCATACACATGATTACACTACTTCCTTAATTTTAAAACAGATTGAAACTAGCATCAATAGTACGTGATTAAACGTAACGGAATATACAACAACAAACAATTACATTAGTAACCGCTCACTACGATTTAAAAAATCAAAAACATAACATACTTAAAAATACTTAAAAATACTTAAGAATACTTATCAGATACTTTGAAATACTTAATTGATACTAGATCTATAGTTTAGAGTGGGATGCCCCTAGAACAAAACCGTTAATTTCATGAATAATTATGGAGTCGCCTGGTGTTGCTTGAAAAACTCCATCATGAAAAATGCCTTGATAACTTTCTGATCGGTCATGACCAACGTACCTAACTGGAATTTACTTTCTGATAGAATTTACCAATGATTTAAATAAAAATTAATATATATAATTGAGGATATAAAATAAGGATATATATATATATAATTCCATTTTTTCGATCAATCAGAATCAGAAAGTGTTCCAGGGATATCCAGGAATAGTTTCTGAAAGATATCTGATCATTTGATCAGGTTTTCTCTGATGTATCATCGAAAAAATGGAATTTTTAAAATAATATTAATTTCTAAATTCTATCTGAAAGTGAATTCCAGTTAGGTACGTTGGTCATGACCGATCAGAAAGTTATCAAGGCATTTCTCTTGATGGAGTTTTCCGAGCAGCACCGTGCGTCTCCATTATTATTAATAAAATTAATGATTTTGTGCGAAATTAGTTCGGCACTCAGTTTCGGCCTCTTTCGTATACCAGCTGCAGCAGAGGTAAGACGTACTTCCCCATCGCGAAGGCAAATGGTAAATTCATCGGCACTCAAAAACGCACATTGGCGATCCTACCAGGTTGAAGATGTTTTCACCAGAAATCGAGGTGATGGGATTTGATAAACCAATGGTCAATGCTGAATTCTTCGTCGTTGACAAAGGTGTCCGTTCGCTATTGGGCCGATCCACAGCAAGCGATTTGAAGCTGCTGAAAGTTGGTGTAGCCGTTAATAACTGCGAGACAGTGGAACTTTTTTTTCGAACGGAAGGTGTTGCGTACCATCTACGGTGGAGTGAACCACGAATTGCACCAGTTGCTGGGAGAACCATCCATCGTCCACATTGCAAAAAATGGGCGACTACGGTGGGCTGGGCACGTCGTAAGAATGCTGCACGACGACCCAGTGAAAATGGTTCTAGAAAGCGACCCAACAGGAACAAGAAGAAGAGGCGCGCAGCGGGCAAGGTGGATCGACCAAGTAGAAGGTGACGTGCGGACCCTTCGCAGACTACGAGGCTGGCGAACTGTGGCCATGGATCGAGTAGAGTGGAGACGACTTCTTCGGACAGCAGAGGACAACAAGGCCTTAGTCTGATTGGTAAGGTAAGTACAGTGGAACTGGATGCGAAGTTTCCTATGGTGCCTGGTGTTCTCATAAAGTTCAGCATAGATACGTCCGTGCCCCATACTAAGAATGCCTACTATAATGTCCCTGCAGCTTATAAAGCAAGCGCGAGGGCGAGACTTTCGGAAATGGAAAATCGTGGCATTATAGAGCGTATTACCAACAATCAATACGAAACTAACGATTTTAAATTGGCTCACTACTTGACTAGCCTATTGGTCCCAAGCAAACGATTAACGTACCCCATTCTAGTCAAAATTCTAGTACTACGCAGTGTTTGTTTTGATTCGCTATGAAAGTTTGACAGTTAAAATGAGGGGTTATTGGTTTTTTATGTTTCGAGGGGTGAATCGATTAGCTTGGGACTGAAAAGAGTACCAGAGCTGAGCCAAAAAGTTGAGCACGTTATTTCGGGACCTTCTAGTCTTAGAGTTACCTCTATGGTATTACCATAGAGGTAACTATAAGACTACACGGATAGAAATCTCCTTATACCTTTTGGCATATTTCTATTGCTGAGTA